TTTTTTTTTTTCACAAGTCATTTTAAGAGCGTGGAGAAAAAAGGCATATCACACTCTGTGTTGGTATATGTTATTTGATCCATTCTAGATGCTCAGTTTGAGATGGTAAGCTATAACATTATTGACAAAAGTACAATCTACAGAAAACAATTGTGATTGGAACAACATTTCCAGAATGTATGGTTGTTGGGATAGCTGGTATGGAACGTCTGTGGTCCACAGCTTGGCTCCTTTATATTGATGACCTTTTGCCTTTTTTTAGTTCTTTAAAATATGTGTTTTTGTTTCTGCTAAGCTTATATCAAGTAACACTTGTACTTACACAGTACACGGTCAGATTCACTTACAGTTCGTTCCAGTAAGCACAAACAAAGAACTAGTTCTACTACTTTTCATCGTTGTGTAAAGGCTGTAATGGTTAGCAATCACGTGTTTTTATTATATGTCATGATGGACAATTTAACAGATGAGGTCATGGTGAAGGCTTGATGGACCATGAATCGCAATTATGAACTTTTAAACTCATTACGCTACCATGGTACAGAGGTTCCCGAGATGGAATGAATGGTTGAAAATTAAAAGAGCATATTGTCCACTGCTGTAAATGATTAACAAGAGACCAGCAAAAAACAGATTGGTTGAAGGAGGCGTTATATAAATATCTGATAATAGTATTGCAAAGGAGGCTGTTATTTTTATTTAATTTTTTTTTTCAAAAGTTTTCTAATGAACCAAAGGAAGCAGCAGAGAAAGCTGGGCGACCATTGCCATGTTACTGGCACTGGGTATATTTGTTTATCCCGCTAACACAGACCCGAAGTGATTACAATGTTAGTTAGTGTTACAAACCTTGTCTGAGGACATGGGTCGTGTGAATGTGTTTTATGTCTCCTATCAGTGTATGTGGGTGTGTGGGTTTCTTTTGTTTTCTTGCAGGATCACATGACAGGGAAACTGTGAGTGGATTGATCGATGGCGTCCATATAAACCAACTGGCGCCGGCCCTCTTCCCCTTTTTCCCTTCATCTTCCTTGAGATAAAACCTGCTGACACCTTGCCGAGTGCTCCATGTGCATTACCTAATGTTACATTTGATTGTCTGTAATTAATAGCAAAATGAAGAAGTGAGAATCCCTTGTTTTTGATAAAAAACATTTTCTCTTGTTTTTTAGATAATGATCTAAGAATATACTTTGTTAAAGCTTAGCTTTATTTTTATTTTGAATTTTGACTAAAGTAAACACCTAAACTAGCCACAATAGCTACAGAATGAAGTTCACATCTATCAACTCTTAAAAACAGATTACTATTTCTTTTACAACAAGCACACATCATGTTTTCTGGCAATGTTGTTTCGGATACTTTAAGATGCTTCCATTCCAATGCTTAGGGCTAAAAATTTACACTATTACAAAATTGCATTAGTCTGTCAAACAAATCACTAAAGGAGATTTTCCCAAAGGGGGTGGGGGCGGTGGGCTGCGGGGGGTCTGATTTTAAACACTAGCATTGGAATATTCTGCTTTGAGTAAAATCACAGTGATTAACCACAGCTGATGTTTTTGGTCATGGTGCCGCCTACAGGCAGTACCTTTAGTTATGAATGAGGCCACACCTTTTTTTGTTTTACTGCTTAATTTATTGCAGGGACAAGTGCTGGATCCAATCCAAGCTGTGGTAGTGTTTGATCTACCTAATCGCTAATGTTCATTTAAAGTTGAACATTGAGTACTTGAGTACCAGCTACATACGGGGAGAGCATGCAAATTCCATGGATAAGATATCAAACGAGTGAACCAGTGACTTTCGGGTTTGCAACTGTCTTTATTTACAGATAATATCTTTCATAAACTGTAATAACAGGACAGACACAGCGGCAGTCATGAACACCGGAACATTTATTGACTCTGAGAAGCTGTACATCTATGTGTCATAGCCTACAGAACCTCCATCAGAAACATCAGCCTCAAAAACGTTCCTTCCTTCCTCAAAAGAAACCACCCTGTTCAATACTTCCACCACGTACGTCAAATACATACTTTTAGATGTTAAAATTGCATGTGAATAATAATTTTGCAGTAATCTTGCATTATGTTGGCGTCAATTTCGAGAGTTCCATCTACAGGTTCAAAACATGCATTGAAGTGATTATTAATCATAATCGGAAAGGTAAGATGTTTTAAATGATCAAATCTTTCCCACCACAAGGCTGAGAGCCATTATAACCAGAGCGATGGATGCTGAAGGGACGGAACTGCTACTGCTCTGTGTCGTGACAGGTTGGTCCACCTGGATACTTCTGTAGACATTTGTCATCAAAGGTGATGAACTGCCATTGACATGTACCATAGTGCTGAAAAGGTCAATCTAAACAACAGGTATAACACTGAGTTAGGTGTGTTAACAGGAGAGTAGCAAATCTAATTGTGAGTCATCATGCTTTAGGACTGACTAAAAAACTTACTAATGCTTTGCTGACTTTGATTGACTCCTTGAACACGGTCCAAACCACAACCTCATTGCAAGTGGGCGTAGTGAAGGAACCCAGGTAGCGATAGTATTTTGTGCGATCCACACCTGTCAGAAGATCATCCAGAGAAATTCCAGGCGCCATGTTGATTTTGTCATCTGCAAGGAGAAACAACACCTGAAGAGACTGCACTTGACAGTGAGTGCATTCATCACATGCCGTTTCCATACCTTTGTTTGGGATGTTTTTCAAGTACGAGGTAAAAGTATTCCAGCTTGCAGGTTCGTCAGTTGCATCACCTGATTTTTCCTAAAATATTTTTTTAAAATTTAATACTTTTAGAGCAGAAGAAATCATGTACAGAAGTGATGATTTACATAAATAAATAAAACTTATAATAAAACATTTCTGTCCCCAAGGTGGGGCATGACAGAAAATAATTGAGAACCCCTGATTTAAAGGCAGTGCATCTACAGTAAACCATTTGTTAGAGCAGAGGTTCCCAAAGTGGGGGCAGGGACGCAGATGGAATGAATGAATGAAACATAACACAGCATAATTGTCCAATGATGTAAATGTGGCATAAAAAATAAAAAAAAGCATTGAAAACGGTGTAAAATGAATCTGATAATAGTACATGCTATTAATAATATATATCTTGGTTCATGAATGTGTGCAATTTGAGGGTTATTGTCTTTCCTATTACTCTACTGTTTCAGAGAACACAATCGGTTCTCTTCTTATGTTACAGTAGGATAAGGATAGTTTCTCAACCAGTGCAGCCAGATAGGTTACATCACCTCATTGTGACAAAAAGGACCTAAGGACCAGGTCAGAGGTGTCAAACTGATTTTGGTTCAGGGGCCACATACAGCCCGATTAGAGATTGACTGGGCCAGACCAGTACAAACATCAATTATAAATGTTGATGTTTGTGCTCTCCTTTTTTTTTTTAAGTTCTTTTTTTTTTTACTTATCAAAATAGAAAAGCCAGATTTAACCCTATAACAGGCCAGTTTTGGCCCGTGGGCCTTATGTTTGACACCCCTGGACTAGGCAAAGATGCGAGGATCTACCAGGAATCCTTTAATTTATTACATTATTGTTGCATTTTATTATTGTATTTTATATAAATTATTACATTGACACATTTTATAAATGACTTGCAATGGTTTTATCCTGATAACACATACCATGGTTAATAGCCACTTAATGTTGGTTACAGCGTTAAATGTCTTTGTTTTCCTGCTGTATTCTTGTGTCACACCTCTCTTGCCCTCTGTGATTAGTGGCTTTTACCAAATGTTTTTCATCTCAATTAGCATTCTTTCTCTGTGTTTGTATATAACCTTTTGCCCCACCCTGTATCTGTGTTTTGCTCCGTTCTATTGGAGATTAAATAATTATTAGCTTTATTTTGGTACATTTAATGTGACTTAAAATAAGATTAACATTTTGCTGCAGTTACGTCTACAGTTACCAAAAAGATAATCAGGTAAACAGATGCCGTTTAGTAAATCAAAAAAATAAAAAACTAACCTTACACATTACCTACTTTATTTTTATTGTATTTTTTAAAGCTGTTTGGATTCTTCAAGAAATTATGTTATGCTTGATTTCACACATTATTATCTGAATGGCTTTTTATCTTTAAAAATACAAAAGGACAAATGATCAATTATTGTTAGCTATTATTTATTAGTCTAAATAGCAGATTCTTAATAAGGAATTGAATAATATATAAAACAGAATACATAATGAAAATCTTACCTCGATAAAGAAACCAAGAGCAGCAAATCCTTTGGAATCGTTCAGAGCTTCAGTTAGGTTTGCTGATGACTTTTGGCTTACAATATGCAGCTACAGGAGTGAACACAAAATTGTATGTAAATTTGTTTACCAGCATAACTTTGTACTTACGACGTACTACTAAAGACAACAATATTTACCGCCATGGGGTAACGCTTTCCATCAACAGTGTGCTCAGAGCCAGGGACAGAGGAACCATTTCCCCAGTGCAAATGGAACTGAAGGCTTTCATACTCCTCAGGTAGACCACCTCCTGAAACCTTCGCACCACTGTTGAAGTTAACCTTGACTAGAGCAGATTTTAAAAGATAAGGTGAGAGGTCAATTCAAATCAAAATCTCTCATTGGTTCTGCGACGAACACAACACAGTCAAACACAAAAAAATAGTGAAGTAGATACATACTTGTTTTGCCAGTGTTTACAATCTCTTTCAATAGGGATTTGTCGTTATATTTAGTGAAGGTGAATTCAGTCAGGGTAGAATCAGCTTTGGCGGCTGACGTTTTGATGTTGATGGGTGACTGTCTACTTCCATTACAGTACTTTGGAGAAAGTTCTGGCCATTTTGCGTCATCTTTAAACACAATAATCAGTCAGATGAGTGGTCACGATAGTGACAAGGTATTTGCATGACACAGAGGTATTTAGAAGTAAAAGAAAGAAAAAAATATATACTCACTGCAACTTGGCAGGTGATAACACCAAGCTGTTAAAAAATCAGAAGCATGTAGTCAGTGTTTGGCATTAAATTTCAAGGCGATTCATCTACATATACAGTATATCATCTACATATATATATACTGAAGATAAGTCTTACCAACTGTAACGTCCGCACAGTAGATGCACGATGTGAGGGTGAACGCTGCTAAAGCTGTACTTAAAAGAATCTTCATCTTTAGTGACAAACCCAAGCTATCTCCCTTTTTTCCCGTGGCTTCCAACAGCTATGGAGCCTCAGCCTTTTATGCTTTTACAATTGCCCGCCCTCCATCCCCCCTGCTCCCCCACCAAACAACACCCCAACAGATCTGCATCCGAGGGAACTCCGCCTTCAACCAGAATGCGGCAGTAAAGCTGAACATATCTAGAGTTGAAGTTGCAGTGAACAAGATATATATAAAAGAGATTGGCGGCAGAGGGCAGGGACATTGACATTATTGTATAATAGTTATTATATTATTTAAGTATATGTCAAACCTTTACAATCCCTTTAGGAGGCATCGTACGCCGTGAAACAAGTAATACCCTGTACATATGTGTTACAAAATGCCTTTTAATTTATTTATTTTGTCTGGTTTTTTTTTTCTTCTTAGATTAGAAAATGCTTATTTTTGTCACAAAAATAATAAAAATATTGGAAATGTAATATATTTTTTTATACCACAAAAACCATTGACAGAGCGGAAAATCTGCAATACAAGAATACATTAATATAGTATTAAAACCTGCGATAATTGTTTGGTTTTAAGATAAGATAATATAAGATAAGACTTTATTTATTCCACACTGGGAAAATTATAAAGTAAATATAAGGTGCCCAATAATGTATGCAGTACTAGAGTTAATGTTATTGTAAAAACAAAATCAAGTGTCATTGGGTTTGTGAAGTACCACAAACACAATTACCTTATACAAAAATATTCTGATAAAATAGTTGACTTATTCTATTCTGCTCAGCTATTATGTTTTATATTGTTTGTAATGTATTATTGCCACCTGACCTGACCCATTGCTGTAGGCAGCATGCAGTCTGACCTTTCCTAACCTGACTTTCCGGTTACTCTGGAAAAGTTGTATTTTCCTCTTTTCAGTAAATGGGCTCCCTTGAAACTGATGCTTTTTGACATGATGATGTAACTCTAAAGTCTCCCTTTTACCTATTTATCAATTGTATTTCAGTGTGTTTTTACTTTTAATCCTTTTTCTGGTTCTGTGTTTTTATATTGCAATTCATTCTTGGTGATTGTTTTTCATTGAATCAATCTATTTTTAGTTGGTTTATTTATTTATTTGGTGAGCTATTTTGCTAAATGCAAAGATAGATGCTATCAGAAAATTATCTCTGTTAAATAGGACTGTAAAATATGTTGTTAGTTCATACCCCAGTTACCTAACACACAAAGAATTCATATAAAGATCAAATAAAGATCTGATCAAATAAAGAATCAGAATCAGATCTCAAAGTTTTAAAAGTTTTACTTGCAGCAAGGAGTGCAGAACAATGGTTACATTCAGAACTGCACTGAGGAACTCCTCAGTGCTCAAAGCAGTAAAAGTACAGTTTTTTACACACACATCAGTGGTCAGCACCTTGGCCCTATACAGCCATGTGGTGTTGGATTCATTCTCTTTTTGATGTTCAGTTTTCCTCATTGTTTGGGCAGAGAAACTGGTTCAGGCCGGTTCTGTGACCTGTCCCTATCTCTAAGCGTATCAGTCAGTGCTATCCGTACAAATACACCATCCTGTTATGTAAACCATCAGCATGCACACCTTTCCTTTTTATAATATCTTAACAGCTACAATGACAATATATACTTTTATATTTATTATTGGTTGTCATTTTATATAACAACATTTGTAACTTACAAATGTACAGTACAGCTCATTCTTGCTTGCTTACCACGTGATGATCTGAAACTGATGGATCCTCCACGTGTCTGACAAGCATCACAAACTTGATGGCTGGCATTGTTCCTTGCGCTTATCTGACAGCTTATCAGAATTCTTTTTTGAAGACATATGATCGCTTCAGTGGCGCTTTGGCCCAGAGGCAATGTCTCTGTCATTGGTGTGGAACCCCAGGGTTCACCTCCTGGACAAGTTCGAATCCCGGTTAGGGCGGTTAATACCTTCCAGTGGACTCACCACCCGCAGGAAGGTTTGGTACGGTGCAATGTGATTTGGGTGGCCACTGCTGCCCCCGCGACCCGGTAACGGATAAGCGGATGAAAATGGATGGATGGATATGATCACTTCAATCAAGCAGTCAAGGTCAACATGGGTGTAACATTCCAACAAACAAGAATATATTTATATATATTATGGCATGCCGTTCGGGAAATTGAGAAACCTTGTGCGGATTAATTTCCTCCTAATTTCCTCCTTCTTTCTGTATTATATATACAGAAAGTCTGAATATACTGTATATACAAAATGTCTGAATATATATATAACAGAGGTTAATAGTTATGTAGTTATAATTACACAAAATTGTTTTATTTGTTCTACCTGACGGAAGTGGGTTGTGCTCCGCCTCCTTGGGCGGAAACTTAAAATATATTTTTGATATAAAAAGTAAGTCACACCTAAACTCTCCCTCTTTCTTCAGACTTTGTTGGAGAGGGGCTCGAGTGGTGTCCAGAAGGAAAATTAATTTTGTTCTATGTGAATTCCGTCAGAACAATTAAGACGTTTGTGACAGCAGCACGACGGCTTTAATTAAAAATAACACTGGGCAACACCGGTTACATATACAAAAAATTTAAACCAAATCGGGGCGGCACTACCACCGACCAGGCGGCACAGGAGATTCCCGTAAAACAGCCCCTGCATATGTCATGGTTATATTTGTAACCCAAGTATTACAAAAAAAAAAAAAAAAACAGTTAATGCTGTGTAACAGAAAATGTAATACATACGTTTAAGAGAATAAGAACAGATTACAGTCATAAAATGGTTAACGATCTAAGCTCACTGAATCACTGGGGGATTCAGAGTAACTGAAATAAATTAGTAATTTATATAAAAATATAAAGTAAATAAAATTGTTTTAATTCATTATAAATACTTGTTGTGAAATATATTATTTCTATATTTTATTATTTGATAACACCGTCCAGTGTGCTGACAATCATTACTTACGTCTTCCAGAAAGGAAAAGAGCAACAGTAATGCAAAAGGTGATTTATGTTAACTTTTATTTGAAGATATTTTGTTTGCTAGCTGTCATATGACGTAGTGTACTGTGGCCCGCCCCACTATTTGAGAAGTACTGCTCTAGATGCACACAAGTCAATTATGGAGTTCCCCAAGGTTCAGTACTTGGTCCTTTTTATCTTCTCTACATATGTTACCATTAGGAAATATTATTACAAAACATGATATCAACTTGCATTTTATGCAGACCATGTACAACTATAATTGTCCATACATCCAGATGACACACTGAATAAAGACATTAAGAACTGCATTATTATTGTTGTTGTTGCTATTATTATATTTTTTGATCAGGATCAGTCCTTTGAGCCCCATATTAGAATGAATGCCCATTCTGTGGACTGTCCAGGAACTTTTATTTATCCTTTTCACTGAGTGCAAAAGATTGGTGGGTTTCTTTAATGTGTTGACTCATGTTTGTAACTTGTTTGGCGTCTCTTTTACTGCACCCATTTTTATCTGTGGATAAACAAACAGATAAACAAAATGTCACCTACTAAACTTTTTAATAGGAGAAGCTAAAATGTCGATCTACTTGACACGCAGGTACAGAATGCAGGGTGGGCTGATCCTAGATACAGAGATCCTGCGGATCCTGCGGATCCTGCCATCTTGACCTAAATTATGGGGCCCTAAGGCACATTCCAAACATAATAGCCAGTTGAACACTACAGGTTAGGTAACCCAGAAAATAGTTTAGTACACAGATAATAAATAGTCTGAGGGTAAACTTAGTTGAAAACAAGTCAGATGTCAGTAGCAGATTAAATTTGGACATATATTGTCTTGATTGTCTATGTCAGCCAATTCCAATCAAATTTGGATTATTTTACACATATGGGTGTTGACACCTGATGGCTGTCCATTCTTTTACTACTTTACTTGTTATTTAATTGTTTTATTAATAATAATTTGTCTTATTAATGTAGCTGTTTCTAGCTGATCCACATTGGGATAGATGAGACACTTGCTTTCCCAAAAAAAAGTCACATGTTGGGCTATAGTGCATATCTTTGTGGACAAATTTTGTATATATCTTTTTTTAATATGTTTTTATTAATATTTTTCTAGCTTATTTTATATGAAAAAAAAAAGTTAGAAAGCCAATGCAAAGCAGTCATTTCACTTAACCTATAAGAGGCACTGGGTTTACGGTGCTATCCAACTACGGCGTTTTGTGGTTACTTCATCATCTCCCATAAATGTATTTAAAATGTATTTAAGAAATCTAAGACGTTAAAAACACGAAGCAGATGAATGTATTTGTGTGAAGAACAATTGGCTTCACTTATATTCACGGGTTGTACTTCATACGCTGGATTGTGTTATATTCACTTTCTTCCTTTTGCAATGTTTTGTTTGGTAACTTTTCATCATGGCTCCCAGGCATTAGGCAGTTTCCTCTGATGTTTTTATGTCCTAGATAAACCAGCTAAAATATATATTGATACACCACTGCCATTACCTGAAGACATTGTCTTTCGATAACTGTCTGAACAAAGCAGTAGACACAAAGTAGGAATATCAAGCTAAATGGTCACAAAAAACGCAAGCATGTACCAACAGGTTTCGGTAAGTTATGGTGCCAATTTTCTTATCTTAACCCTTGTGTGGTGTTCGGGTCTGTGGGACCCGTTTTCACTTTTTAATAAAAGAAAAATGATATAATTATTTAATTTTTCAAACTGAGACTCACTGGCTTTGGCTCATTTTCTGTGAAGAACATATATCAGAATACATATTTAATGACCACACACCATACACCCACCCTACACATTTCTATTACATATAAGATGTTCAGGTCCACTGGACCCGGGGCTAATAGAAGTGTGGAAATTGATGTTCTGTGTACCACAGACACACGCGCACATGCACCCACACACGCACTCACACACTCACACACACACGCACTTACACACCTACACACACACACAGCAGGCCTAGACAGGAGGAGGACAGAGTGTAGGTACACAGAACATACCTATAACAT